TTTTAAAACAAAATTTAAAATTTATTTTGACCAAGTAGAAATCAAAGTTGGTGATGGAAGGAAAATAGGACGAGTGATTGAAAATAGTGCACAAAATAATCATTGGATATGTCCGAGATAGAGTTGGGACTCGGCCTTTCTAATGAATAGAGATTGACCAAATGAATCGAACCAATTGGGAGATCAAATTTTCAATAGGCGGCCACATGGGGGAGAGGTGTATATATGACAGGGCCATCGCTAACCAAAGAAAAATTTAATGGATAAACTAATTTTGATGGGACTAAATTAAATATTACAGTACATATATGTACTTACATATATGTTTTTCTGTTAATTAATCAAAAATATTATGTTAAATATACTATTTTGAATTAGCTAGTGGCAATCGAACTTAGAAGTTGTTATGCCCGATTTTTGGGATCAATGTTAATAATATATAGTTTTAAATTAAAATATATATAACATCAAGTATAAAAGAAAAATTAACGTGGCACTCAACAAGTTATATTAAAAAAAATTGAAGATGTTAAATAATTTGACAGATAAAAACTTTGATGGTATATTATAAAGTTATAGACTCCAATCCCATCTTCATCATTTATTTTTTAATAAATAAATATTTTTTTTATAAAATTTATCTTAATTATTAATTTATTTAATAATAGAAAAAAATAGAAAAAATGATTAATTTATGCAAGATAATTATGTGTACATCGAACGATTATCTCAATTGTGAGGAGATCTAATAGCCCAAATACCTGACTCGATGAAAACTTGCGGATTTTGATTTTTTTTAATATTATTTTTATTATTATTACCGGTGCTGTTGTTGCTTTATTTTATTATTATTATTATTATTATTATTATTATTTTTTCCATCTCGTGATAGTCTTATTAAGGCAGGGAGGGGAGCAGCAACAAAACTCTGATCTCTAAAGAGTGAAGAGGGGCCGGGGTGAGGAGAGGAACTCGCCTCTCGTCTTGCTCTGACGTCGCTGTCGCCACCGTCGTCTCGTCTCCTCTTCCCCGCTCTTCTTTCCGGGCTGCGAAGAGGAGGACTTGGTCAACAGCTGATCTGCCGAAAACAATCGCCCGCGAGGGAAGAAGACAGGGAATGGGCGACGATCGCTTCTCGCTGGGTGAGTCCAGGTGGTGGCCGCCGGGGTTCCGGTTCCACCCCACCGACGAGGAGCTCGTCCTCTACTACCTCAAGCGCAAGTTCTGCGGACGCCGCGTCAAGCTCCCCGTCATCGGCGAAGTCGACGTCTACAAGTGGGAGCCCTGGGAACTCCCTGGTACGCAGCGCTGTTGCTGTAATACGATGCTGCCTCTCCCTCTTTGCATCCGAATCTGGTGACGCGAATCCCCTTCCTACTTTCCCCTTTGGCCTCATCCTCCTCTTTATCTTTGCCCAAGTAACCATGCCGCAGGATTCAATATGATCACTCCAAATTGCTTGCAATTGGCTACTTCAATCCTCTCCTTGCTTCCTCGAATGCCTAATCGTACTCGATCGTCGCAGCTATATGCATCATTTCAGCTTCTTCTCGAATCAAATTAGAATCGATGTGTCGGGTTTCTCTAAATTCGTCGCCTTTTTGCCTTTCCTTCCTTGCCTGACCGAACTGTCACGACTCTGTCGTTGTTTGCAGAGAAATCAGTGTTGAAGAGTGGCGATAAGCAGTGGTACTTCTTCAGCCCTAGGGATAGGAAGTATCCTAATGGATCGAGATCCAATCGGGCTACCGAGTTCGGTTACTGGAAGGCTACGGGGAAGGACCGGACCATCTCTCAGAACTCCAAGGCCACGGGCAACAAGAAGACGCTCGTCTACTACCATGGGCGCGCCCCCAAGGGGGAACGCACCGATTGGGTGATGCATGAATACACTTTGGATGACCAGGTGCTATTGAGCTACGACAATGTGCAGGCAAGTCAATCCTGAGAAAAAGATAGGAAACTGATTGTAGTATCTGAATTCACAGCTATCAGTGTATTTTCTTTGTTGCATATACTTTGATGGTCTTCACCTTGAGTCATCAATTTTCCAGGATTCTTATGCTCTCTATAAGGTCTTCATGAAGAGTGGACCTGGTCCTAAGAATGGGGAGCAGTATGGAGCGCACTTTAGAGAAGAAGAGTGGGTTGATGAAGCAGCAGACGAGAGCTTCAAGAGCCAGGACAACATTGAATTGTCAAGGAATCAGGAAAACATCGAAGCACCAATTACTAAGCCTCTTCATCATCTTACCTCGTCTGGCGTGATGCATGATGCTGGGAACACTCTTCCGATAAACGAGCTAGAGGATCTTTTGCTAAAATTGCCTGAGGAGCAAGACATGGTTGGCCAGTTCTCGGAACATTCTGCATATATTTCAGAGGTATCACTGTATCCATAGTCTTTGATTATGCCCTAATCCTACATATTTGTTTGCATCACATATTTAGATTACTGATGTGCATAGACGGCAGCAAATGTAGCAACAACCATATACACATGAATCCTGCACAAGCATGGAGACACACATGGCACACCATACATGCACACAGCGCCTTTTCCAATGCATAACCTCATACATGGAGACATGCAATATATGCTCACTTGCAAGGAATAATGCACCCAAGCTCATTGGCAACACATACACTTATTATCCTGAGTTTCAGAAACTAATGAAGTATGAAACATTCTTTATTCATGATTCGCTATACCATCAGTGATAATTCTAATTAGAGTCGGTTGCTTTTTATTGGATTTTCACTTCTGTGCAGGTTGATGTTGAAACAGAAGCTGGAAAGCATAATTTCAGCCCACCCTCAACTGAAACTACTACTTCTTTTGAGGACGATAGCACTCGGTGTGAGTTGAGCATTTTGGAGGCAAGCTTTCAAGTTGCAGAACCACATTCTTGCTTCGTGCAGCCTGTTGAGAATCCTGAGATGACTTCATTAACCTATAACTCCCATCAGAGTCCAGAGGAGACTCATGGGGAGTTTCTTGAAATCAAAGATTTCAATGAACCAGAATCTGTCATATGGAGTGGGAACAATTCAAGTAACGGAGACCAGACTGATGGATCTGATGGATTTTATGATTCTTACGATTATTTCGACGACCCTTTGTCTTTCTATAATGATTTTGAGCCTCTGGGCTTTCCAGCACAGAACTCATATCTTGATAGCTTTGGTGATGATGGGGTGCTAAATGAGTCCTATCATGTCTTGACTAATCTTTGGGAACATAATCTGGTCTCTGGTTTCTCAAATGCAGATACAAATCGGATCTTCATGGCATCACCAGCGTCAGGTGCTTAATCATTTTTCATTTGCATGATCCAGCATACCTATACAAGGCAATAGGTCATACAGCTTTTACCTGTGCTATTTCTCATTTGCTGCTGCTACTCAATACATAGGTGTCCCATATGCTTCTGCATCATCCAATATCGAGAAGCCTGAAGAGCAAGGCACTCATGTTAGAGGCACCTCAGAATCATGGCTCAGTTCTGCACTCTCAAACTTGTTAGATTCTGTACCAAGCAGTCCTGCACTAGCTTCAGAAAATACCTTCATCAACAGGGCACTTGAACGTGTTTCGAGTTTTAGATCAGGGCAGGTTGGAGTTCACGGTCCAAACACCACTACAGGTGAACACGCTGCCACATCTATAAGAAGGGGAGACCACCGCAATGAAGGGGTTCTTTTCATTTCACTCCTGGTTGGGCTGGGTGCCGTGTTCTGGGTCTTGACTGTTGGGGCTACAATAACAGTTTTCAAGGGTTTCCTGGCCAGATTCAATTCCCCTTGAGCAAAAAAACCATTATGAGCAAGCTTTGTTCCATGTAACTCTGGGTTTCCATATCTTACTTTCCTTGATGTTGATTTGGAGTATTGTACGTGTTCATGTATACTTGTAAAGGAAGGTTAAATATCAAGTTTCAAGTTAGGTAGCACTGTTGTTAGCCTCACAGCAACTATTTTGTTGTGTAGTTTTGCTGTTGTCATTCAGAGGTTCCAGAAATGAGGTGGTTTGAGATTGTGGTAAAGGGCTCCATTGCAGATCTCTCCCTCTGTTGCCGAGGCAACGGGAGATTCTGTAACTCCCCAGTTCTGGCTCTCCACAAGCTAAAAGCGTCAGAGTCATAGCAACTCTTTGGTTAAGTTTAAAATATGGAGTGACGATGCTAGTTAGATTATGTGGGGGCAAGAGCAGGTCCCTATAAGAGTAACGTTGGTTCTGTGCGTAAGCATCTTCGGAAAGACTTCATTTGTGCAAGAACTAGTCAGTATGCTACTAAAAGCTATACATGTAGTCTACACTTGTATGGCAATCTTATGTAAGATTTATCACCAGCGTATAGCTAATCATATGGTCTGAACATTGAAGTAAAATGATGACCGGCATTAAATAAACATCTCTCAGATGCACCAATGATTTGTAATTTCGTTCAGACCGATCCATCATACTAACCGGTGTTTACTGGACCGAACATGAACCAAACACCGGACCGAACATGAACCTCTTCGCAAACCTTCATCATCTTAACAGAAGAATGAGACCAAACAAAGAACAACCATGTCACATGGCTATCTTAACCTTTTTGATGGGGTCTTACATACCAAAGAAACGATTTTATTTCAACAGAACCATAAACTTGCAATTACTAAGCCAAGCATCACTTTTGAAACACAAAATATACATCATAATTTCCACATAAAGAAAATGTATCCATTACAAGTGTTTTTGACCATAAGGACTAAAACATCACTCAGCATGATGAACTTCAAAAGCACGTCTTAAAACATTAGTCTTATAATGGAAACATCAACACTACTATAGTTTTGGGGCATTCTCACTTAGGATGTAGCAGGCTTGTAAGATGGATTGAAAACCACTTGTTCGGCACAATCCAGATTATCTCCAGAAAATTGGCGCCCTATTCCCATGAGATCCAGGTAATATTGATAGTGAGATATTATGTTGTTCATGGGATCAATATATCCCTGGCCACAAATAATATCTCCATACAGAATATTCATGGTAAGCCCAAAGCCAGGCAACCTTTTCGACAAGGTGTCATTCTTGGTGGGCTTCCAGTTTCCAACGAAAACATCATGAGCTGAAGGCTGCTTTTTCTTCATTGGTGTCATCCACCTCCAGATGGCAGCTTGGAAAGCCAGGGTAGCATTCTGCTCTAGGTATTCTGGATGGTTCAACAGATCTACCTTCAAAGCTTCACCAATAAGCCCATAATTGTAGTTCCTAGAAGTCATCAATTTAACCAGCAGCACTTAATTAATTTCAACCAAATGATAAGATTAATTATTTTGTTCTATCCTTGCACCTGGTGCATACTAGAAATGCAAGATGACAAATACCATTGACATACCAGTACACAGGCAGAGCACCACGTCCATAGTATTGAACTCCTTCGGTGCAGGGATAAAGGTAGTTTGGATCGCAGTAGTCTTGGCTTGGGCTCATCTCATGGTTATAGCACAATCCCCATGCAAATGGGCCACCAGTCGCAACACCATAACCACCTGCGATAAAGATCATCGGCAGATTATATACATATATATGTATACATGTCTATGAGAAAACAAGTTAGGCAGCCATGACAATCATTCCTACAGCATCTGAGACACCACAAGCCAGTAAATCCATTGGGTTTCTATCTCCCCAAAGCCTGCACTAACAGGAGCGTTGTGCAATCTGCATCTCTTTTTTAGGGTTTTCCAATAACCATGGCATGACAACAATTAACATCTAATTGGACATTTTTTGTGCATGATGCCAACCTAAGGTGTCTGCCAGCCTGTGGTGCCTACCAACCGAGGCAAATACACTGGAACTAGAAGGAAGGAACAGTAGCTGCACGCATCTCCACTGAATCCATTCAATCTTATCTTTGCTGAATCTGTTAAGATGAATCTTGTCCAGGTTGCTTGGTCATGCTAGGCAATGCAATTTATTGTTCTCATCACAGAAATTCTGGGTATCTCAGACATCTGAGTGTGCTGTCCAAGTTATTAAGTTGATAGACATTGTCCTCCTAAATAATATCTTCATCATCGATCATTTTATTAGTGCAGAAAAGTTATGTAGCCAGATACGAGGATGAGTGCAAAAGAATTCAGTTGGGTGAGGATAAAAGGATCCATTTTCATATGATTACATTTATTTTCATATTGTTATAATTTACAAGCATCTAATCTGGCTAGGAATCTAGCTATTCATAATATATGTCGGTGAGAGAAATAGTGAAGTTTGAGAAGCTACTTAGCATCAAATAGAGAGACAACGGCCCTTTAATATTTGCCTCCTTGATAATCTATTTTCCATTCTTGCATATGCATTTTTTTCGATAATTTCTCTTCCTTGTCTTAAATATACTCTATTTACCTGCAGTCCTTTTTCTCTCTATCTTAACTACCTACTGTTGAAGAAACAAGAACTGTAAATCACATGTTATCTATTTATAATATGGATCTAAGATTGTCTATATATCTAATTAACACAGAAGCTGATTGATTACAACCTACAGCCCTATGTATAACCTTTTTGTTCACTATGACTGTACAATTAGAATTTGAGAAACCTAATGCAAATTTCACTATAACAAGTTCATTGAATCTTTTGCCCTCAGAGCATTTCCTTGAAATGTATGACAAACTGGATCTCGTGCTTCTTTCCATGTTGTTATAAATCTCCTTTGCCTAAGATATAACCGATTATTTAATTTGCATCACACGAACAAGAAAAATGAACAAACCGTGGACACTCGGAATCATGTTCCACTGATGCAGATGGGAACAGCAGTCGAAAACATTTCAAATTTGTTCATAATCACCATAGGATTTATTTAGTGTCCAGTGACTGTGCATGGCTTGTTTCACATCTTTTTATTGTGCATTATGTTCTGATATCTTGAAAATTTGTCTTTGGCATTGATAGTGTTCCTTTACGTCATGGCAGAGGGAGTCCGCACGGCTTGATTCAGTCACGGGTACGCAAGATCATCCACGTCAGCGCTCGGGCGGCGGGGATCATCGTCTGGTGAGGTCAGGCTCGGGCTCTGGCTTCAAGGCCTGGAAACTCCCCTTGGCTGGCCGCCTCCCACTCTATCATTGGTCCTTGCACACGGGTCAGGGTTGGAAAGGGGGCTCCCGACTTCGACCCCTCCGAAGATTTTGTTAGAACTGGGTGGAAAATGAGCTAAGAACCACTTGTCGCCGGCCTCGTGATGGGTTTTTATCCCTCCGCCAGGGGACCAGTCGTACCTGTCATATTTATGGTTGCCGACCCTCCGGGCGACGGACTTACTCTTGGGGCGGATGTTGGGCGTCCTCGGCGTCACGACGTTGTGCAGTGGTGTCGTACTCAGTGCCGTCTCGACTTTTGCGGGACGACACAGTACTCGGTCAGTGTCGTCCCGATCTTACGACGCTGTACTTGGCCGGTGCCGTCCCGACTTTAGCGGGACGACACGGTACTCGGTCGGCGCCGTCCCAATCTTACGACGTTGTACTTGGTCGACGTCGTCCAACCTTTGCGGAACGGTGTTGACCAGGGGGTGCGGTCCGGTATGTTGATCTTGACGCTGATGTGGCTGTGAATAGTGGTTGGAAGGCAGGTTACCAAAATATGCCCTATCATTCTCTCCCCCCCTTAGAGAGCGGCTTGTGCCGGGTCGCTCCTCGAGGGGCCTGGTGCATGGTGCGGTGTGATCTCGTAAGTCGGGTCTACCCGTGTAATGACTAGTGGTACGACCAGTGGTTCGCCGGGAACCTCTGGGAGCGGAGATCGGTCGTAGACAGGGTCCGTCAGGAAAGTTTGTCGGGATTTTGACTGGGCAAGCGACGTTGCTCGATGTTGGACGTGGTGATTCGGTCGTAGTTGGTGTGCACCTTGGCTTGGATACTGAAGGATCTATGTGGCTGAGTGTCACGGCTCAGGTTGTTGAAGGCCAAGATAACCGAGAAGCATAACCTGGGCGTTGTAGGCTGGTGTGACCGAGCTGGATAGCTCGGGTAATGAAGATTGACGTGACCGAGCATCATGACTCGGGCACTGTATGACTGATGTGGCCGAGCGACATGACTCGGGCATTGTATGACTGGCGTGGCCGAGTGGCATGACTCGGGCATTGTATGACTAGCGTGACCGAGTGGCATGACTCGGGCACTGTATGACTGATGTGGCCGAGCGACATGACTCGGGCAATGTATGACTGATGTGGCTGAGCGGCATGACTCGGGCACCGTATGACTGACGTGGCTGAGTGGCATGACTCGGGCACTGTATGACTAACGTGACCGAGGGGCGTGACTCGGGCACTGTATGACTGACGTGGCTGAGCAGCGCGGTTCGGGCGCGGTGTGTCTGGTGGGGGCGAGCGGCTCTGCTTTGCCCTCGGCCGAAACGAACCAGACCGGAATATTCCCGCCACGTTAGTTTTGGCGGGAAACTTCCGTGCTTGCAGTGGGTTTCTGTCCTGGCGGGAAATTTCTGCCCTGGCGGAAAGCTTCTGCCTTGGTAGGAAGTTTCCCGCTAGGGCGGAGACGCTTGCCTCGGAATTTATGCTTCTCCAGGGGTCATTATGGCGAGGGGAGCGACTGCTGGCCTTCCGGGGGGAGGCGAAGGGTCGCCTCGATTGGCGGGGCTTTGCCCTATAAAACCCCCTTCCCACTCTCCCTATTTGCTTGTTTGTTTTCTTTTTGGCTAAGTTCATTCTTGTGCTCCGTGTTCCCGCTCCCTCCTTTTCTCCTTGGTCGGTAAACGCCTCAGGTCGGTCCAGATATCCACTTCCTCCTCTTCCTCCTCTTCTTCTTCTTCTTCTGGTAGGTCGGGGTCCGAGGTTGCAGCGTCGACTTCGAATAGTGGTCCGTCGTCGGGTGGGACACCTCCCGTGAACGAGAAAACTGTTCGGGCCCTGGAGGTCATGAAATCCCTGCACGACTCCGATTCTATCGTGACAGCGGAGTTGTTCGGCCGTGTCAGGGATCGCTATAGTATCCCGAGCGAATATGAGTTACACGTCCCTCGGTCCGGGCAACGGGCCTACGACCCGTTCCCGAGTGGGTTCAGACTGACTCTTGACGCCCTTGAGGCCGAGCTTAGGTTTCCCTTACACACGGTGATTGAGGCCTACTTCTCCTGGTGGCGAATCTCGCCATCACAGATGGCCCCGAACTCGTGGAGGAATATGGTGACCTTCCTCAGGGAGTGTCGAGGAGCAGCTATCACCCCGACCCTCTATCTTTTCCTGTCCTACTTCCGTTTGTCTAAGGGGTAGGGCGGCTACTTTCTGTCCTGTCACGGTGGCTTTAGGGTGAGCAGGGCGTCTTCTAACAACAAAGGGTGGAAGAGCCGCTACTTTTTTGTTAGCTGTAGTCGGGGGTGGGGGTTTAGCTTCAGATGGTCGGCTCGAGTGATCAACAACAGCTGCCCTAGGTTATCTAATGACGAGTATGAGCAGCTAGGGCACCTAAAGGGGATTCTCGCTACCTCACGGGCCATTAGGGACATGACCGAGGAGTGGTTGGTTGAGGCTAGCCTTAGTCCGGCGCCCCGGGGTACGGCTCGGGCCAATCCCCCTTTTAGTAGTTGTCTTGGCGCTGTTTGACATTGTTGACGCTTTTTGATTTCTTGGATAGATATGATGAATCTCATGCGCCTGCGGGGGATGCCCCGTGCCTCCTCGGCTCCTTAGTCTAATCCTTCCGTCACACAACCCGCAGGAGATTCGGGTCGGCCGAGGAGCTCGGAGCCCGACCGCTCGCGTAAGAAGCCGAAAACCGAGACACCGAAGATGCCTGAGTCTGCCGCGGCTCGGGCGTCCGCCGCTAAAGCCGGCGGTAGCTGGGGGGCGATCCTGTGGTCCTGCCCCAAGGGAGACAGCTGGGAGCTCGCATGGCAAGGAACGCGCCGGGAAGGCGAGGTCGGCCAAAGCAGCTCGCCCTGCCACAATGCGTGATCTCTGCCGCACCCGAGCCCGCTCCAAGGATGAACCTTTCCAGGCTCTTTTATAGCGGAGCTACCCGAGGGGGAAGCGTCCGACCCTCTCGTGATGCGCTGGCCGGGGTTGACCCTCGGGGAGCTGAGTCTGGACGGACGACGCGGCCTCTACGACTTACGCCCGGGGTGCCCTTATCCCCGATATCGCTAGACAATTGTACGGTTCGCCTTTTGAGGTGTTGATCGAGAAGGTTGGCAAGTCTTTGGTCTAGGTATGGATATCTTTTTCCTTCTCGGTCCTCGTTCGACCTTCTTTGCTTACACCTCGTCGTTTCTTTATGCAGAACCTGCACTACTACACGGCGCTTGTAGACCATGTTCAGGACGCTGGTCGGATAATCAGCAGTCTGGGGGATAAGAACGCTGAGCTCCCAGGCCAAATCGAAGAACTGAAAGTGGGGGCGACACCGGAAGCGGTGGCGGCAGCCGAGCAGCGAGCCACTGACCTGGAGGGAGAGGTTGCAAGACTAAAGTTGGAGCTCGAGGGCGCCGGGCAACAGCAGGTGGGTCTTCGGGAGTAGCT